TTAATCTTTTTAGCATCCCAAAAAGGTCAAACTAAGCGCATCCACCCGCTATTTGAACCGTAGTAGGCGATTTGCGGCGCTTGTAAGTCTTTCCGTAAGCCGATAATACGCTGTACTTTGGTAACGGGGGGGGGGGGGGGGGGGGGGGCATGGCTTCGTTCCTTTTGCTCAACAGTCCGAGAAATAGCTAAAATATTAGTGGCTAATATGGAAAAGTGAAAAACTACAGAACACCTACCATCTCCGACGCCGTTTTAATCGCTTTTTCACAAATTGGTTGCACGCAGTGTTGTCCTCTGCCTCTGAGTGTTTTATCTAGACCGCAGTTCTTGTCACTTGCATATGTACCTACAGAAGACTCCTCCTTGTAGGCTGCAAGTCCTTGGATGGTTCTTAGAGCACGTCTGAATTCATCCAATAGATTCTTTTCAACGCCACGAGTACGAGTCATTATGCATTTGCGGTGCATTTCTTCACCCGCTTGCTTAAAGCAAGACTCTACCCTCTCCACAAGCTTACTGGTTTGGGCTCGTTAGAGATGCACTTCAAGCTTGAACAATAAAGACGAGAAATCCCGCCTAATATCTTCAATTGTTTGTCCAAACGAGCTTTGAGAGCACGAACCTCGGCTCTATGTTGTTCAAGAACCCAGGTCGACGACGACAGCTGTATGCGTTCTTTCTCCAAAAAAGAAATTTTTTCTTGTAGAAGAGATTGGTCTCGAAGGCAAGCAATAATTGTCTCCTCCATATCTCGACGTTTACGAAACATCATATCCTCGTTCTGTATCGTAGCTTGCTTCTGTCGACGCCGCATCCCCAAGCTTGCCAATCGCTTCTCCAAATTCACTCGCATCTTGATTCCATCGTCAGCCTTGACAAGGCGTTGTTCTTCAGTGTTTCGTTCATCTCTCAGAGTATTTGTTTCTCCAGCGACCACAGTGCCGGCGTGTTCCCGTTCAAAGTTTTGAAGTGGATATTCCTTGACATCCGTTCGTTGTCGACAGGTCTACCTCCGTTATTCGCTACTCGATACGGTGCAGCAAGCAACAGCTTTTGCGACGCGTACAGTTTGAAAGGATCGGTTCTCAAAAGCCACCCGTACTGATGATTACCCTTCTTGCTTTTCTCTATCTTGCGCTTGAACGCAGAGCAAGCCTCTGCAAGGCCTTCTGTCGTAGATCCTGTGTCCCCGGTGATCAGGTAGAAATTGTGCATTTGGCACTGGCGCTAGACTGGCGGGCGCTGTTAGCGTAGACGCCCTGTATTGAGGAAGAGGAATAAACAGCTAGAACATTAATAAATATCCTTTCCGTTGGGGCACATTTTCGTGCGTCTCCCCGCACCTTTCTGGGGCCAATTCCATGGCTCCGAGCGCCGAGTTTTGTCTGTAGCTATCGTTTCGACCCGACCCCCGCAGTGTCGATTTCCTGTGTTGATTAATGAACCGAAAAATGCTTGTTCACGCGGCTTCCTCGAGGTGTCTGCTGGCACCAACACACGGGGAAAATGGCTTTACGCTGCCAATATGACGGTCAGTAAGTAATATATATACATATGTATATATTGCTATATATATTGCTACATATATAGTTTAATATAGGCCTTGTATGCGATACGTTAGAACGCTGCAAATACTGTTAAGTGGCTATAGATAGGTTTGTGTTATATATATATTAAACTGAGGTGGCTGCTATTGATCAGGAGGATTTTTAAGAGCTGTGTTTGCGAATACAAGTAGCTCAGAACGCGCTGGAGGCGTGGCTGCGGGAGCATCCAGCTGCGTAAGCGGTAAAGATCGATTATAAGTGAGGGATACAGAGCTGTATATACTAGCTTTTAACGTAACTTGCTTAATATCAACTACCTAGTGATAGATTTGATTCCGCGTAAATACATTCTTTGGCTTCGTCGCACTTAATAGCTAGTCTAGAGCGAATTGAGCGTGGAGCAGTGCCGCCTCAGTTCGGCTTCATGAATCCTTCATTGCAGGCCTTCTAAAAATGGGCATTTCCCGAATTTAAATAAAGGAAGCTAAATAGTGGATCTTTTCATACTTATTTTGCTTAAATTATTACTTTCTTTTTTGTGCTTTACTTGCCTTGCTACTAGATAATAAAAAGAGGCTTAAACTACTTCACCTAGGATATCGACTCCGAATACGATATGTCTGTCTGATCTAATGGAAACTCGTTAATATGTCTGGCGGACATTGACCGCACCCCACTGCAAATGAATGGACCAGTTTCGTTTTAGATTCGACTCGTCGAATAATTGCTATTATCGTTGTGGGTACCTAAACGCAAGGGTGTAGGTCGGATTGACGTCTTATGTTAAACCTTTGTAACGGGGTACGAACCCCAGTGTACCCAAGTTACATGAAAAGTGATCAGTCACTCTTGTAATACCTGGTACATGGTACCAGGGGCTCTAGGAGCCAATCATTGCATATCTACATAGC